ACGTGCAGCCACTCTGAGATCGTGGCCAGGGTTGACCCGAGCGAGCCACAGAGTTTCTAAGGGCCTGGTGACCTCAGGGTGGAGAAATTCCACATGTGACCTCTGCTGCTGGCCTCCAGCTGTAGCCGCTTTCTTATTGTTTGTCTACATACAGCTTCTCAAGAGTTACAACCCAGACTGTCCTAAAGCTACGTCCATCGACTTCAGTAAATGTATTAACAGTTGGGACAAACCCAGTCTGTCGTAAGGTTGGGCAATATGGCGAAATATATCAGGAGAGGATAGAAATGTGCCAACCGTCTATACATAACCGTAATACTTCTGGTGGTATTTCTCCATCGCAGGACTATATTTTGGCAATTATGTTGTACTGTGAATACATTAGATTTGCAGGATTTTGGCATCAAATTTAATAAATACCTTGATTGATTATTTTTTATTATTTTATTCACCATTGACTTATTTTATCTACAGAATATTAATCTGCAACTATTTACTGTTTTGATAAGTGTTTAAGTCATTTGTCAAGTAAAACATGCTCAACGGATCCTTAGTTCCAGATACCCAATTGTGAGGATTTTCTGCATTTCTCTGTCTTATGTGAGAGTCAACTGAATAACTTTTGCACTGTTGGAACCAGCTTGAGGCCATCTGAAAATGGGCTCTTTTCATGGCCATTTTTCACAACTTTCACCATAAAATTAAAACTTTTTCCATATAGCACACCTTAAGAACACTCTAACATCACAGATTTCCCGTTTAATTTACCTACAAACTACTACATGGTCTACATGTGCCTTAGTGATTAGACCATGGCACGTACAGAACATCATTCATTACTGGATTATTAGCTGCCCATGCAAGCCAAATGACTCCAGGTCACCACACACACATGTGAGGAATGTAACTGACAGTGTGACATTTAAGGGAAGTTAAGTACAAAAGCCACGTGCAATCATGTGAGCATGTGAATGCCACACCAAAACCCAAACTGGAAGAATAAAGAAACTTTACACCTTGTTGATGTAGCTGCCTGTAAGAGGCAAACATGACAAAAATTGATTAGTTTATAAAAGCAACATGTGGACATAAAGCGACCTTGACTTCAACTGTATTCACAATGTGCACTTTATAATCCACGTTACAATGTAGATTAACAGGATTAACAGGCCCATCAAAGCCTGGCCTTCTTCCACATAAACTCACTGTCACAAAAGAAGATTTATACCTCAAAAGCAGAAAAACGGGCACACATGAGTGTTGGCAGGAGGGCCAGAAAAGAGTGATAAAGGCCCTCTGTGAGAGGGGAGCGCTGCCTTTCTCCTCCTGTCTCACATTTCTGCTGACTCAGACACTTTTAGGCATTGAAAAAGGAGAGCCAAAATAAGGAGAAGGAGGAAAAAAAGATAACAGAAAAAACAGATGTGATCTCAGGAGAACGAAGGAGACAAGTAGTAAGGCACGGAGGTGAAGTGACAGGGCTGTCTCTCCCTCCCATCGACACGCCACCATAACTCAAACAGCACAGTGAGGTGCACGCCCGGCCTACAGACACACACACGCACACCCAGGAGCTTCACTCGAGGGGGAAAGAGTTCCTCAAAGCCAAAGAAGTCATTCATCACAGCTGGGAGTAGAAGACACTGGGAGAGTAAATTTAATTAGGGAAAGGATTAGACCGTGACAAAAGTGAGTGCACGCTCCTGTGTCCATGAAGTGCACGTAAATTTAAAGTTAAGTTCAATAGGTGTCACACAGTTGCTGCACATTATCTGCGGTACGATATGCATTTTAAGAGAATACTGCTTGTTGAAATCAATCTGCAAACAAAATCTGAAAGTGTTTTTCTGAATGATCTCAGAAATGAAACCAAGAGCACCTGGCACCCATGGGCGGTGTCTGTGTCTGGAAAGGTAAAAATAGAGCTGTAAATCCTTTTTTCAATTGAGGGAAGCAGCACAAACATACCAGATACCCAGCCTTACGCGACTGGACTCAGGTTTCCTGTAAACAGGTGATATGTGGGAAAACAAAACCTCTGTAGTTTCGCAATCTCTTGGCGTTTCTTGAAAAGGAAACTTGTGGTGCGGACAAGTCGTCATAGCGTGATCAAGAGCGGCTGAAGTCAGAAATGGGAAGGAAGCAATGCCAGCGGAGGCCAACCTCACAGTAGCATTCGCTTGCACAGAAATGTCAAGCTGATGCTCCGCAGCTTTGGCCTATGCAATGCAATGACGAGAGAGAGAGAAAAAAAAACAGCAGTGTCACCTTCAAGATGGTCTATACAGAGCTGTCACGGCTGCACTCGGGCTGCAGCAGATAAGCAGGTTGTGGCAGGATGGGCGACCCTGTGGGACGCTGCTGGCACCCACCCAGACGTCTCACTCTGATAACAGGACACAAATATATGCAGGGTGCCTAGACAGCAGTCAGTTTGATGAGAGACACCTAGCATGCATAAGATCGCTGAGCAGCAGCCAGTGAGCCTGGTGTCCCCGGGAAATGGACAAATTTAGGCAAAGAAACATATTTAAAAGCTGTCACATTAGACCCTGGCTTAAAATGGACAGATGACTTGAAAGTAGGGCTTGGTATTGAACCTTAAACTTATTTGGCACGAAAACTTCCAAGTATTAAAAGATGGTACTGAATGTTTGGTGATCAAATTAAAAAAAAAAGCCAAATTTAGACTTTTTTAGGCATTGGTCTGTACTTGGATTTCTTTTGTAGGAACAGGAATATATCGATTATAATTTTGGTATTCCTACAGAACAAGAAATCCCAGTTACTTAGCCATATTTGCAAGATAGGATTATTAATAAACTATTTCACAATACCCAATTCAGTGCCTTCCGGCGTGTAAACCAGACTTTCATCCGTCACCTTGTCTACCACGTGAACATACAACACAAAGATTGCTCTGTGCTGCACCAAACACACCGACACATGACCAAACAAAGACAGTGAGTCAGGGCTCAAACAGCAGCACCTCCCTGGAGTGGCGTTTGAGTGTGTGGGAGGGAGGTCAAGCTTTTGGAAGCGATACCCGGATTGCTGAAGATTACTGACGCTGTGCGGATGCTCCAAACTGGTCACATACTCTTTAAACTGGTTGAACAGGACAGCTGAAGAGTTTTGGTTTTCTTTTGAATCAGCGACAGACAGTCAGCGATCAACCGAGGACACTGGAAATTCCTTTGAGTAGCACACAAATAGATTCGGAACAGATCAGATTTAAATCACCCTCTTGATTATTTCACGGATAATCGTCTGGTCTCTAAAATGTAAGAAATCATTGAAAAAGGCCGATAGCATGTTCTCAGAGCACAGCGGGGGGTGTCCTCAAAGTGTTTGCTTTGTCCGACCAATAGCCCAAAATCAAAAGATTCAGATTCAGGATACAAAACAGAAAAACTGCACCACACCACTTTGAACAGCCGAAACCATCAAATGTTTGTTATTTTTGCTCGATAAATGATTTAGTGTGAAGAGAGTGTCACAATTGTTACTATAACAGGTATTATACACTACATACACATGCACTGTAGACAAGTGCGCTAAAGCCTGAAGTAACAGTTTCAACCTTTAACACCTGTATGTTGGAGTAATGACCCTGTAATTTGAAGCTGCAGGTCCAGACGGGGGTTGTATCAGGATGCATTGTGTTGCAAAGGATCACAATGACGCCTCGTCACTGCAGGGCCCGTCATTACAAATAAATAGGCTGACATTTCTACTAACAAACAGTCACGGATGAAAGAAAAACGACACCTTGAATTGACCGATTCAAGGACAGCGCAGTGTGACTTGCAGCGTATTTAAGCTCTTACATCATGTCCAAAACATCAGTGAATAAGTAAGCTAACCGTTACAGTCATGACACTGCACTGGAAATCATTTTTTTTAAGAAACCTGTGGCCATTGTGATGATAAGGGAAGTGAGTAAACTGATTATGGAAGACTTTACTGGCACTTGCATTTGTCAGTTTGGCTGGACGTCACTGGTAACCAGCAACCACACCCGTCATCGGACATGAGGTAACTGTGTCTCAACACCTGCAGTGTAATAATCAGGCTGGGCCTTCTCCGTCTCTCAGGTCAGGGAGGAATATGTCTGCACTTGTTTCTCTCTCTCTGCACAACACATCCATTACTCACTCCCAGACATGTGACTGGCAAACCCCAATCCCTCAGCGTGGTTGACTGTGTGTCACGCACATGCAGCCTAACACACCCATCTCAGCCTTTGCTCACATGCTGATAGTCACATCAGCTGTTTGCTAAATCCTCTGTGGTAGGCAGTTTTTTAAAAGAATCAGCTTTGGGTGACCTTGATGCAAAATAAAAAAAAAATGTTTTCCCTAAAGCGGCTTGGCTTTGTTGTATCAAAGAGGGGGTTTCGCTTCCTGGCATGAAACCGTTGGATCTGTGAAGTCACTTCCCCTGTTGGTGAAGTCAAAACTGAGTAAAAACACAAGACGCCTGTGCCTCTTAATGAGCAAGTGTAACACATCACCAAGAGCTGAGAACTGCACCCCAAAAGGAAGAAAAGAAAAAAAACAACTAAACTTTCTGAGCTGGAATATGCTGAGGGTAGTAGAGCAACGTGTGTGTGTGTGTGTCATTGTGGGCGACGGCCAGATTCACCCCGCCTCTCCGTTCACAGCGTCAGTCTGGGCAGGATTATCACATTACTGACAGGACTCCCTTTCCATACAAGGTAACGAGTTTCATCCGTGAAATGGAGACAGATCTAATCAACATGAGGGCGCTCTTTGAAATCAGCTTATTATCCATTCTCACACACGAGGAATTAATTGATTAAATCTCTTTGAAGATGACCCCAGATCCGATCTGGTGCCTTTGACTGAGAGGAAAAATATCTGACGTTTACCTGCAGCCAGCATCCCTTCACTGAGTATGTAAGGAACTCAAAGGGTGCTGGCCAAAGACAAGCATGACAAAAAAAAGACAAACGCAAGCCTCAGATGTCACCTTACCTGTGTTTCTCCAGCTCATTGTGCGACGATCTGAAAGGACAAAGAGACAAAAGATAAGGATGAGCGTCAGGGCGGCAAGGGCAGCAACATACTGTCAAAATACTACACAAACACCTCAAAACACATCATGTCGTGTAAGAGTATGTTGGCGGCCTGGTTAGTAAATGTTTTGATCCAAAAGACGGACGAAAGCAAGAAGTCTGGAAGAAACAGGAGATCTCAGAAACATTCGGAAAAAAATGAAGGGTCTGCTTTTTTCTTTCTTTCTGCCTCCGGGTGGCTTTAGGGCTTTTGAATGCTCGAGTTGCTGTACAATAAAGTACGAACGAATATCATAATACCCCCAAACTGGCCTTATCATCAATTCATTCTGAATTTGAGGCACAAAGAAGGAATGTAAAGGCTTTATCACACATTCTGGAAAGTGCAAAAATGGAGTCTAGTTTAAAAAAAAATCTCATTCCATGTCAGTGTGACATCTGTCAGACAGTGTGCAGCAGAGGGCGAAAATGACCCTGAAGAGAGAGAGAGAGCAGTATCTGTGACACGGCACAACACCCACCCCCTCCTCCTCCCCCCGGCCCGCTTTCACACACATACAAACAGCACGCACACACAGCTGTTGTTGCTGCACACTGGCTGAAAAGCAGCGTGGATAAAAACACACTCAGACGTCTGGAGGCCTAGACGCTGCAGAATTCCTCAGCGTGTGGGCTATTCCGAGGAGAGCCCCTGTCCTGATGTGCAGCCAGGACCAGCGAGGGCACTGCAGTCCATCTCAAACAGGCCCTCTGTTCATGAGAACGCCATGGATACCACGGCAATAAAAACAAAAACAGCAACAACAAAAGACCAGACAGACAACTAGCCTTTTCAGATTTTTCCGCTGTTTGAGGGCCCTTGTGCGGGTGAAGCAGTGGTTCCCACAGCTGTGCCGAGGAGGCCAAGGCTTCTGCAAAGCGACGACACCGCTTGCTGCACCAAAAACAGGGTTACAGTTGAATCGTGCAACTGGGATAATGTGGCGTCTGCACAAAATCATCCCAGGAGGAGCACAGGATGTTGCACTGCCCCTTATAACCTGGTCCAAAAGGCCGACAAAGAGCTTTATTTTATCAAGGAGGAAGTTGTGCTATTCAAACCTGCACATATTAGGGAAACGTCCCAGTCAAAGCACAGAGCATGACCAGGAAATCATTCTGCAGCTTTTCAGAGGAAGAGCGTGTACAAGGATCTGTAATAACAGTAGGTTAATGCACACCTTTACATGTTATGTAAAAGAATGGTGTGGCATGCAAAAGACTCTGCAGTCGTAAACTTGGCCCTGGTGATCAAAGGCCTGTAAATTAAGCTAATATCACCCTTTTTATTGACTGTAAAACTGCCATGAGTTCTTCTTCAGAGGACCTTGTGTATGTTTTCCCACGTTCACAGGAAGGAATTCAAGGATGCAAAAGAAGTTAAGCCTGACTTTTTCTGCGCTATTTATATTTTTAATTTCATATCTAGTGTGACAGGGAGGTGAAACAGGGAAACTCTCACCACCAGGTCTTCGTCTTTTTTTAGAGGCATTTTGATTTAACAACAGTCTACGAGTAAAAAAAGCAAACTCCACCAGGGTTTCTTCTTTCTGTGCACAGAAATAGACTGTCAACTGTTTTTGTTTTTCACATGCCCTGAATATTGCAGCATAGAAAAACATGTTATCTGTTTTAATTTGCAGATTCGATCATGACACTAAACGCTATGGCACCCGTTTTTGGGTTCTACAAAGCAACGCATTGTGCTTTTTAACTTAACAGCTAGCTTCTGTTCAACTGAAAATACGGCCTAAGTTCAAACACGAAACATGTTTTTACTTCACTACCCCCAGCATCCTGTTGATGCTCGAAAAAAAAAAAACTGTGGGAGAGTCACAAGAAAAAGGAGGGAAAAGCAGGTCTGGTGCACGAAGCCTAGTGGACTGGTGTATGTCACAGTATAGGTGTCTGTTTTAGCCACCACACCCACCTGCCACATCTCCATACACACCCTGACCCACACACAGATACTTAAAAATAATTGTGTTACTCCGTCAGAGACTGAATGAAAGGAATGTGGATGAGACTGAATTCTCATTTGTGACAGACGGATACAACTATCACTTTCATATTTTCCAAACTGCGTCTGTCCAGTGTCATTACAATAGTGATAGCGCAGGTTAACAAGCTGTGCGTGCTGTACGTGCCATGACGTAAGTCACTGCTGATGAAATCAGGCTCACTGTGCTTCCCTAAACTAATATTAGCCAACAGGAAATTATTATTTTTTTTTTATCAGATCACTTTTGGGAATAACACACATGCAAATGTTTCTGGAGAGTTTGACCAAAACACACATTTATTACATATCACAGGTAGGCGCAACAGATGAAAGAGTTCACTGTTGCACAATCCTGGAAAATGAATCCGGCATAAGATTCATTTGCATGTAGCCTAGAATATAAAAGTCCCCAAATTACAGTCATGTGACATCAGGAGAGAAGGGATTCCTGCTGAGGGCGTGTCCCACACTGATCCACTCAATTTTAAACCCCTTTTCATAACAACACAGTGAAGAACCACCTGCTGTGTGGTCGATGTCATTAGCAGCTAGAGGTTAAAGGATTGGTTGAGTAATCGATAAGTGGATCGTAACATAATCTATTAACTTTATGTGTGATAGAGATCTTAGGGTTCTGGATTAAAAACAGGGGATTTAAAGATGCCACCTGACAACAATTTTGACATTTTATGGAAAAACAATGAATTGATTAATAGAGAAAAACACTGGCAGATGCATCAATAACTAAAATAATATATAACAACAGCCCTGTTAGCGGCCTTTTAAATGACATGTTAACCTGCTAGTTTAACTGACCTTTAACCAGCTGTCCACTGGGCAAGTTAGAACCGAAACTGAAACTTAACATTTATTTACTTATGTAATTGTGTTGTTTTTTTTGGCCTCGCAGCGTTACAGCATGTGAGTGGGGTCAAACCCGGGTGAAAGCGCGTTAATTACAGTTTAATGAGGAGCGAATAAAGAGCAATGGATACTCTGATCACAAGCTTCGATCTCCCATGTCTCACAGACAACAACGGAATCAAGGTTTTATGAGCTCTGTGTGTGTGTGTGTGTGTGTGTGTGTGTGGACAGGGGTCCCCTTTGGTAAAGGAGACTTTCATTTAACATCACACACACACACACACTAACCACATGAAAATAAAGACATTTCAAAGCAAAAGTGATAGCTGTGTGAGACAGACTGAGCGTGCAGAAAACGAAAGGTTATGTGCATATCGACTGGTTTTTTGTATCGGCATGGGGAGAGTTTTAGGTGTGTGTGTGTGTGTGTGTGTGTGTGTGTGTGAGTGAAACAGAGAGAGTGGGAGCAGCAGAGTTGACAGTGTACGCGTGGCAGTGTTTATTGGAGAGACCAAAACAGAGAGCCCAGCCCAGGCAGCAGAAAGATGGCAGTGTGCATGAAACCAGCTCTCTCCCCCTTCCCCACTCCTTCCACTATATATATATATGTGTGTGTGTGTGTGAGTTTCTATAAGCTGACAGTCGCACAAACAAATAAACAAAAGAAAGCAAGAATGATATTTACCTGTTGTTCTGAGCTTTTCTGGAAATTGACGAGGCTTTCGTTTTCTTTTTGGAAAAGTCGCTACTGTACGGTAAAACAGACGCATAACCGTGTTCTGCCTCTATTGAGAGAAAAACAAACAACACAAAACGAATGTTAACGTCTGCACTGCAAGAATAATAATAGTTCTTTTTAAAAAAAAAAAAGAGCTGTCAACGAGTCAATAGTAAAACATGAAATAGCTGTGGAGGCTAAATGTCATTTCAAGAGGAACCAAAAGGCGATCGATCCCCAATATAATCACTTCCAATACATCCATATAGCACAGCACAGCCTCCAGCAAGGGTCTACACTGTGAGCAGCTGATGCTACAGGAGAATGTTCATGAGGATCACTCATTATGATACTGGCTCATATTTTCAATGTCACTCTTGTTTACTCATTTCCGAAGAAGCTAATAGAACAAAAACAACACACACACTGCATTGTGAGTACACACGGCGCACGCCCTGCGTTAGGAACACTGCAAACACACTCACATACATACATGACATACTTTAAATCATAAAATACAGCTGTTTGTTCTCTAGCATACAGGCTGTGGGTCCGGTCTGCACCCATCGCCTGCTCTATGTCCCATTGTCTGTGAAGTGACATCATACCTGCACTATGGCAGGGCACGTTCAAACTTTACATATAAGAGCATTAAGCTATCTGCCGTCCTATTGATCCGTCCACGAACTGATCACTGGCCTAGAAACCCCCCTGGCAACTTGTCAGTTTAGCTCGAAATACCTCTGTCTTTTCTCTCCAAGTACTCTGCAGCCTCCAGCAGAATTAAAAGAGAATTAAGTTCCATCTCGCTGTTGTCTTGTTATATAAAATTTTTAAAAAAATAAAATAGACGTGGTCTATTTACACAAATGTACAAGTCATGAAGTAATGGAATGGAAGCGTAAAAAAAATAAAAACAGTTTCAGAGCGATGTGTGTACGCTGCTATATTCAGTTCTGAGTCTTGGTGACTCCAAACTACAGGCAATATCAACAGCACCTAACTAAAACTCACACCAGTGAGTGACCGCGGATCTGTCCAATAGGAAAAGCGTGTGTGCGGGCTCTTTGGGTACGTCTTAGCCAATGAGCGGGCGGCAAACCGTGAGGCGCGATTTGATTGGCTTGACAGGTTAAAAGTCATCAGGGACATACCCTAGCAACAGCCTGAGTTGCCCGCCCGTCGCGTAGTTGATTGGTTTGACACGAATACAAGCTGCCTCTGATTGGCTGGGGTGAACTCTGGGCGTGTGTCATAGTTGAACTTGGGGTGTTGGTTTTGGTTGCCAAATTTGATAACTTCTCAAAAAAGTATGCTGTTGGATTTGGACCGTGAAAGTAAACTACATTTCAACGGCCATTTAGTCAACAAGGGTTGGTTTACATGCGTCAGCTATTTCCTATCATGAGTGTGTGACATGGCAGAATTACCCACAGGGTTTGTGTTTTGTGTTCATTTCCTGTCCCAAGTCATTATGAAAGTGTTGTATGAAGGCTACAGAAACAGTTCAGGGCCTCTATGATCTGAAGAGTTCAAATGAGCATTATTTTTATGATGTTGAGGGAAAATATGGTCAAAAAATGTAAAACAACACAATTTACCTTGAAAACTCTTAAATATTATCCAGCTTATTTTTGAAAAGCAGTTTTAATAGAGGTAGCAGGCACAGATGCATCGATGAGAACTCTTAATACAACCAGAGCCAGAGCTGGAACAAAGCGTGGATGTATAATAATACTAATATAAGTAACAATAAGATCTTATAATACATCTATGCACAGGGGCTAATTTATTGCTCTGCAGGTCACAAATAATTCTCAGTCCTAAGTGTCCTGAGCTTATGCATCCTTCACCAAAGGTAAAGCCATTTTAAGAAATTTAAACAGAACAAGAGTGAGAAAAGTATATTTGCAGTTAAGTATTTTAGGTGACGAGTGCTTTTTAAAAATGTATTACTCACAAATAAAGACTAAAAGCTTTAGGTTTCAGGTGTACTTTGGTATGTTTTTCCTGTGACACAGTTAGAGCTGGAACAATGAGTTGATTATTTGATTGAGTGACAGAAAATGAAATCTACAACCATTTTATTTATCAGTCACAAATTTGAATTAGTCAACTTTCCAATTGCTGTTTTATGTTGATGCTCGTCTCTGCATCCGAATGTGATACTTAAAGGATTTATCTGTTGTCTGTCTGCTGGTTTGCAATGTCAAAAAAGACCTTTCCCTTCTGCTGTTAAAACTGATTCAGTATTCATTGTTAGGGAAAAGACAACAGACAAAACATAACAAAATATAGGCTTAAATTTTTAGTTTACGGGCATGGGGAGGACACAAGACATTCCAAGTCGAAAGGTTGAAGTCCAAGTGAAGTAAAATTACTGGTGTTGCAGTCAAAGTGCAGTTGCAAGTCTTTTTTAATTTTGTCAAATCAAGTCCAACGTCATCAGATTCTTGACTCAGATCTGACTGAAGTCCAAAGTCACATAACTCAGGTTTAAGCATTTACTTCTGGCTCCAGATTCACTGTTAGTGCTTCATTTCAGAAAGCAAAATCCCATCAGAAATGTTGCTTCATTTTCACACAGAAGCCTCAGCTGTGTAATGTGCTTGAATTGT